CACTCAACTGTATTTGATCAGTCATTTGGATGCTTTGCCACCGTGAGATTCAAAGTAAACATTTATGATCCATTTATGTTCCACCCTGATCAGTAGTTTCGTGCATGTCAATCAGTTAATTCAGTTGCATCAATCATGTTTATTAATTTAGTTAATAGAACAAATAGAAAACATATTTCGATATGCTATAATTTCAAACCATGGCCCTATTCGTAATGAAGCTTACTTTGTAAGTCATGGCATTACATTAATAAAATTTGTAAATTCGAAAAACGATTTGTATTAATTAAGCTAGAGATTGAGGATTTAGTCAGACTTGTCGAAGTAAGCTTTGTCTGTTGAAAAGAAAGTCAAGTACAAATCGAATGAAGTTTGTTGATCCGAAGGTTTTCAAATAGCCCTACACCAGCATTCTTTTGACGGAGCCACATTTTGTGCTACTTGTATTTACTATCTCATTTTCGTTGGTTATCGAGCACTCTTGACCATAGGCAACGATATGGCCTAAGCAAACTTGGAAATAGGTAAGTTTGGAATGGCGTTCATTGCTTTCCTATTTCATGAAGAGTGGATTAGCTATTCAGATGCCTTCCGTTAAATTTACCAATTGCCATGTTTATTTCTTATGTGTACTTCTATTCTCTTTTTAACTTTTTACGTTCGTGAATGCCACTCTATGTTAAGATTCTGTGCCTAAATCCGGCTCTTGCCCACTGCATGGTCTTTCTCGAGAGTAAAGAAGCTTTTGTTTTGATTACGTAGATCTTCATTCTGGCCTCTTCGCATGTAACAGCGATATACTCAGATGCATATTGGAGTTCATCATGAGCAAAATCTAACATGCAAGACTGTCGTCAAACAGCAGTTGACTCAGTCGAACATGTCCAGCTTGGTGGTTTAGACTGCATCGGCTGTTCCAGTCCATAAAAATTGTAAATAGGTTACGAGATAATACATATCACTGGCGCTTACTTACCCTTCTTCAAAAGGCATCGTCTTCCTGACTTTAATGCAGACAGTCGAATGAGGGATTGATGGTCCACAGTAGTTTACTGACGACACTGTATTTTTAAAATGCTCTCAATAACTTCGATTGTTATATTCTTTTGAAGCAGTTTCTTGTTTTAAGGTGGCATCAAGCTCGTTTTCAAAATCCTAACATTTTTCGCAGATCTGTTATCTCGTCTGTATTCCTGGTCTTGATTCTTCTGCTCTGTTTTTCAAGAGAGAAACTATCATCTATAAATTTGATGTGTACCTTCCGACTATTTTGAACGGTCAGACTCCCCGAGGGGTCTTGCTGTAGTTTAGGACACCATTTTAGAAAATAGAAATAATCATCTGGACTGCTACTTCTTCATGCCCTTCGAAAACGCACGTTCTTTGGCGTACACCATTTTGACGAGGAATACGATTGTCATTTCAAGGCCTATAGTATCCACTCTCTGTTTTCGTGTTCCTCAGCAGCTTCGCCGTTTTTTCAATCGTTTGCTTACTGCAGTCATCGTACCTGTCGATTAAACAGCCATAGGGGCTGACGGAAATCTTTATCGCTACTTTTGCCTGCATAGGTGAATCAGCTTCAACGTTGCTAAGGTTTATAAATTATTTATGATTAAAATATTTCAGGCGCGAAGCATGTCGAAATTCGTTTCATTCTTATTTTGCTTGCGTTTGGAGTCTGAAAGTGTAAAAACCTATCAAATGAATACAATTTCCACATTTACCGCCACTTCCTTGCTTTTTAACATGTTATTTTTTTATTGTTTTAGAAAATGTCAGCAACAAAGGAACTCGCCTCCATGTTGGATGAACTAATGGGAAGGCATCGCAACGCGTTGCCTTCTGAAAGACCCAAAGAGACAACTTGGGATGATCCAGAAGTATGACATTTTCGTCGAATTTCTCTGTTTTGGTTTAACGACGGTTTTGTTGCACCTCAATTATTTTGGAAGGGCATTCAACTCTTCCACTCCTTGGCTAGTTACTTTGACCATTTTCTTCCAGTTCATAGATTTTACTCAGTTCTACTGACTGTAATGTCTTTCACTGTCATCTTATAGAACTGAATTTACTGTATAAGAAGGCTCTGCAAGGCAAAACATTTCAGTATAATTTGGGGAAAAGTTCGCTACTCTCCGGAATATAACAAATGAAACAGTGCGCCATGAATGGAACTAGAAATTTTCTGTAAGGTTCTTTTTGGTGTATATGAGTCGATAACTTGATCTTGCGCTAGGTTGTAGCTAAGGACATCTGGATCGCGAGACATTGAATGCGGGTGACTGGCATCATCTAGAATATTTCTGATCAGTTCCTGCGGATCCTCGATGTTAAAATTGATTACCTGTTTTGTCAAACTTTCAAAACGCTCCCCTATGATGCGAGACTCAAGTCGCACAGGTTTAAAGTCAGCTTCGCTCATGCCTGGTAAGATGATTTGACCTGCATAAGTGACCACGAACAAGTTGCATGCGTCGACAGCTCTTTGCACTACTCTTTGTTCATGCATCAGCATTTATCACGCAAAACACATGATAGAATAAAAGTCTCCTGATTTTCTCAGAAACAGATATGATCTGAGGTAGCTGTTTTAAATTTGAAGATATTTGACCTCGCTCAGTATCGACACTTTCACTACTTGTTCTGTATATGGTGAAGTGCCGTGCTCCGAGTATTCCGTATAAAAAATGATATATTCGGCTTAAGGTTTAAGACAGTACATAGATCCAACGCTAGATGATCGATGGTATGAACTGAGCTTTCATGAGCTTCCGTGTTCTGCATTATTCTGATTGATGCAGTGATGATTAGATTGTCGGCACATTTCGCACTTACAGTCAGATAGTCGATGCGTCATTAGTTAGTGAACAGATTGAATAGTAGTGAACACGACTGAGTCTTGAGTAATTTCGAGATTGGTTCCCTGATAAGATAAAGATTTGTTATTCACTAAGTTTTTGTAAATTAGACGAGGAATGGCTTTTGAGCCATTCCAAAAAAATTGTCATTTACAGAAAGTAATTGACATTCATAGTGTCTCAGAAAGCCCAGAGTTTAAGGTGGAGTTTAAGTGCAGCTTCTTTAGGTTATGTAAGCAAGCTGATTGCTTTCCAACCTAGTCATTATTTCGCCCTTTATGTATCTAATTACAAGCTGCTCCTGAAACTTCAACAGAATCGATTGCAAAACTGTTGGCTGGTAATGAAATGATGCAGGGTTAGGTTCTTTCTAAGAAAATGTTATTGGCTAATGCGCCATAGAGAAATTGTCACACTTGCCTTGAAATAGATTTGTTGAAAAGAATGGACAGCGGTTTTCAAATTTCAGTGGCGCAAGATTTTGGTAGCATGCTTAAAATTTTGTTGTGACCAGCAAACAACCCGTATAAATCCAGGTAAGTAGGAGCACATACTCCTTAGTGAATTCGAATTTTTCGCACTGACTCGGAGGAGAAACGGACGCCCTGTGCACATAGCGATCTGGCAGATTTCTGCAATCCTTAAATCTAAGAAAATATGGACTTTATTCTTTTGGGTCATTCCGATCTGTTGGTTTATTTTGAAACTGATTTTCCGCATTTCATGCTCGTTAAAGATATTTGCCGAGAATGGGAACTTGATTGCATGAAACTCTTCTTTCATGATTTTTGATAATGACCTGGCTGCATTTCAGTTTCCTTCTTTATGCGTATTTTATGTGCTTAGATTCTAGCTTCATGTGGACGCTACTATCGTTATGTAAATTTTAGGTGTGCAAATATTTTCTCGTCTCATTCTGCCCTCACGAAATGTTCACCAACACGAAAGCTGATTTAGGTAAGTTTTGATTGACACTTCATTTAGCAGCTTAAAACATTGTGATAGTAATGTACTTATGGATAATGGCGGCTAAAGTATGTCACTACAAAATACGATTCCACTATGAAATGATTAATCTTTAAACTCTTGCCTGTTCAGTACCAAAGAATTACAGTTAGTAGAAAATCTTTTGATATAACCTGAAATAAAAGTTAAACTTTACTGCTGGAGCAAGACGCTAACGGTTTCCGATTTGCAGAAGTTCAAAAAAATTCAGAAGATACACGAATTAAATTACAAAAAATACAATTAAAACAAAATGATGAGGCAAAGTTTAACTGATGGCTGAAAAGTTTCGAAGCCTGTAGAGTCATCTGAATTTATGAAGCTTCAGAATTTTAAGAAAAATTCTTAGAAGAGTATCAATCTTTTAGAAGATTTTTTCATGACATCTCAAATACGTGTATTTAATAAATCGTCTGGCGTGCCAGTTGTAGGTGCAAGGGAATGGCTGATATTAAAATGCCGCAGCATCGGCCTTCCACAAGACATAATATGCACTAAAAGGTAGCAATATGACCTCAACGCATCGATAATGATATTTTAATATCAACCTTTGCTTTGCGTCTAAAGCCATAGAATCAGAAGATTTACAGCTTATTTAATGTGTGGCGTAGCACTCAGATGAAATTTCGAAATCGTCGAGTATTTAATGTTAGAACCTTTGCGAGCGTTTCAAAATGATAACTGAATTTCGAACCGACGCCTTAGCTGTATTTCGGCGAGACAGCAGTAGAACATGAACAGGTAAAATCGTGTTTTTGTATGACGCTTTTGAATAAGAAGGCTTTTTGACCGTTGTCAGCATGCTTATTTAAGGAGCGAAGCGTTGGTAGTGTTGTTCGGACTACTGAATTTTTCTCCTTTTCTCGTCAGTGATTAAATCATCGCACCTTTAGTCATTACCGTTACATTTCTCTCGATTTTTTATTCGTTCGATACATTTCGCAGATTGCCCAATCTAAACTCTCTGAAGATTGTATTCTCTCTACAGTCGTTCAGTAAATCGACGGTTTGATAAAAAATATTTCGATGTGTTTTTCTCAGGGATTAGTATTGGCGGTTGCGCTAGATCTTTTCCTTCGCAACTAAAATAAGTAAAGGAATTTAATTTGGAGACCGACCCTTCGAAAACGATGACGTTCATCATAATGGATACGCCTTTTAAGGTAGGGAGGCGATAGTTTCGCATATAATCATCGGCTTAACATTAGTACATTTAACAGTTTAGAATATGGATTTGTTGCCCACACATGCTCACATACCATATTGAATCTCCCTTTTTTCCTGTTCCGCTATTGGATATTTGGTCAATTCTTAAAATGTCGCAAAGTCTGCGCTATTTCTTCAGTCTCTAGAAGCACGAAGCCAGGTGATCACCATACTACCAGCACAGTTCGTTTGAGAAATCCTTTCCGAACCAGTACCTGGAAAACACTGCCATCAGTTGTAAACGTCAATTTTCAAGCAAAATCTTAGTTTTTCCTAAACGAAATCAAAATATTTTTTCTCCACTGATTGTATTACGCTGAGGTAACTGCGTAATGGGTGAAAATTTAACTATTTAATTTTTTAGGGCATTGTGAAAAAATCCACGATGAAAGGCTGAAAGAACAATACTTAAATAGTTCACGGTTTCAAAAGGCAGGTTTGGAAGAAGACTTTTTGGCCTTTTTACAAAAGCTGCACAGTGATATGCAACGTAAGATCAAGAAGAACAAGCAACGATTGGAACTTACTCAGCCCGGAGGCCAAGTACTTAATTTTCCATGTTCTGTTTTAGTGTTTTCTCACTACCGTTCTGAAAAAGGTCATTTTACGCATAATTTTGTTTTAATTAATTTATCTTCAGCATCCTTTCTTTCAGCACTCCAATTTTTTGCTTATGGCATCGTCATAATTCTTATACGTAGAAAGGAAACGCGTGACTCTACGGTATATCTGCTGCATCGACTTGGATATTTTTTTATGAGTTGAACGCAGTTTTTCATATAATTCAGATTGAGACTCCATGTTCCTCTCTGTGAAAGGGAAAGACTACAAATGGCATCTAGCATAAAAGTCTAGGTAATACTGACATGTTACCATTTACAAACTTAACATTTTCGTTGGTTTTGTTATCTGTGTTCATAAAAAAACGCCTTCAAATGACGTGGTATTTGGAGTTTAACATTACGGTTATTATTTGCGTGAACATCGGTCAAAATCCACGTAGAATATTTCATTTCCATCGCATAATTAATTTTCATTATCTACCATTCCTTTTAGGTCGCAAACCAGCTTTCTCAGAAAGCTTTTTCCATAGTTCTGATCTTCTCCCAAAGGAGAGTTTCGATTATGTAGATTCAGTGAGCAGTGATGCCAGGTGCCTTACCTAATCGAACACTTTGATCTTCGGTCTGCCGTTTAATTGTAACCTTGGTAAGGGAGTCTGCCCTTTGTTTGGCTTCTCTTGCAAACCTTTAATTGGGGAATTAGTCGGATTTCATGAGTCAGCGTAAGCTGCTTTTAGGATAGAAGCGATACAAAGATTTCAGTGTTTTCACAGATCTGCTTCAGCGTGTTCATTCACTGTATTTCTTGTTGTGGCAGCATTGCTGTTGTTGTTCTTTATTTGGGTTCATCTTCATCTTTCAACGCCGCTTCTCCTTTCGGGTCGCGGAGACACAAGCGTCAGTCAGAGCTTCCAACGTTCCTGATCCTGTGCCAGAGTCTGAGCTTCGGTAGAAGACAACTGGAGTTTGGAACAGGCTCC